CCGGAGCGTCCCACGGCCCGCCGGGCACCGGCCCTGCCGGAGCGTCCCACGGCCCGCCGGGCACCGGCCCTGCCGGAGCGTCCCACGGCCCGCCGGACACCGGCCCTGCCCGGGCGTCCCACGGCCCGCCGGGCACCGGCCCTCCCGGAGCGTCCCACGGCCCGCCGGGCCGGGACAGCGGCTCCCCACAGCCCGGCCGGGACAGCGGCTCCCCACAGCCCGGCCGGGACAGCGGCTCCCCACAGGGGCCGGGACAGCGGATCCCCACAGCCCGGCCGGGCAGGTACAGCAGCTCCCCACAGCCTCGCCGGGCAGGTACAGCAGCTCCCCGCCACGATTCCCTCCCTCTCTACCCCCTTTCTTTACCCTCCCCCTCCCTCCCTTCTTCTTCCTTCCCAAATGGGCAGAGAAGGGAGGCAAGTCACGAACCCTCCCTGAAAGTGCAGATTGGTGATGGCGGGAAATGGATTTGTAGGGAGTTCTCAAAGCCTGACAGAAGGCTCACGCACTGTGCATCTCTATGCAACCTGGAGATAAGAAATGCTGACTTAGAAATGCCGCGGAATAGGAAGGACAACTGTTGAGAGAGAATTAGAACTAGAAATAAGTTTCAAATGATGGCCTTGCAAATAAGACTAGATACTTTGGAGAATTAGAGCTATCAAAGATGCATTGTGTTAGGACCCGCAAGAGGTAATTTTAGATGATTAGATGATTTAAGGCATTTACAACATGGCGTAGCTAAAGCTGGTAGGCCAGGAAACGTTTATATTGTATTGTAATTAGGAAATAATTGTCTTCTAATTGTGATGGCGTGAATTATAACATCTGTATTGTCTCACCCTTCACATGAGGCTAATAATAGAATAAATGTTTTAAAATGCCTCTCAGTTGCCCTATCTCTGGGTCAGAAAAGGGCCTAATTCAACAGGTGTTGGGAGCAGAGGAACCTTGGGGTTGTTATTCCACAGATTTTTCTTACACAGAAAAGCTGAGACAGAGGTGGGAAGTACCAAAGCAGATTTACTGGTGTTTCAAATTAGACACCAGGCTGATTTGACTAATACAAGTGTAGGTTTGAGTTAGGATTGCTACAGATATTTTTCAGGCACTGTTAGATGAGCTCTCCTTCTCTACCTAAGGATATCAGAGGATAGTATACTACAACAAATAATTAATAGAATAAAGTGGAAGACCAGTGCAAGTTCATCCCAAGCAGTTCTCACAGGAAAAAGAAAAAAAAAAAAAAAAAAAAAAAAAAAAAAAAAAAAAAAAAAAAAAAAAAAAAAGAGTGACATTCTGTTGCTTATATGAAAACTTTCTAGAGGAAACAAATAGCTTTGAAGTTCAGGATTATTTTTCTTACTCTTTATTTGTGCATAGCCAGTGCCTTGCCCTGTCAAAAACCATTAGCAAGCGGAGGTCACATAGTCTAGCACTGAGAGGAAACTAAACCACTACTTGGAATTTTGTTTATGATTACTTTGTAGTAACTGAAAATGGAACTGCAAACTGCAGTTCTAGTCAAGCTTACCATTTGAGCACTCCAACTACACCCAGTCACAAAAGACACATAAATCCCTTTGTTTGTACAGAAGTTTGAAGTTACAGAACTTCTGATGCAAAACAAATCAGAGAGCAAAGGAAACAACAACAAAAGAAACACCAAGTCACAAGAAATACAAGCATGAAGATGCAGACCTTAAATCCAGGCAGGCCATCTGGAGGTGGCAAAGGTAGTTCACATTAAGTTTGACAGTAGCTAGAGACAGGTTTTGTTCTCACCTTATTTTGGAGACAATGCCCACCACCACAAAGGGCACACAAAGCTGAAGTAATCTGTATCTCTGTGAGTAAAATGACTTGCATGTTTAAGAGAAGAAATTTTACCATCTGGAAGATTTTATTTATCTCTATACTGAATTTCTGCTGGCAGCAGAGGCTTTCAGGTTTGTAATCAGCATTTGACCACACCCAAATGCTAACACTACAGTGGATGCTACAAAGGGAAAGTCCTGCAAATCAGTCCCCTGCCTTCCCTTACAGTGAGGGTAGAGAGAAAAAAGTAGATTCTTCAGAAAGGCCATTACAGCAAAGTCTCCTGAAAATTCACCTGTGCTCTGTTCTCTAGGCTACACTGGCATCTTGGACTGGCACAGAAACACAGGTCCATCTGCCTGCAAAAGGATCAAAACTCCTGCAACAAGTCAAAGGAGGTGAGGGAAAAGTGGAGAAAGCTCTGTGTTACTCCAACAGCTCCTAGCCCATGCCAACTGCTCAGCCACAGAAGATGCCCTTGACACCAACCACCACTTCCTCTCTTACTGCAGGCAGGAGTGTGACGTGCCTCCAGATTCTGCTTGATCACTCCTTTATTCACCAGTTATGGTTACAATCCAGCACAGCAGGGTCTAGTGTTGATCCAGAAACAGCCAAGGCTGGCAGCATGGCACAGAGTGCGGACACAGAGCAGAAGCCCCCACCTTATACAGGAGTGCTCAGAGCAGGGAACTGCTCAAACCTCACTGCCTTGCACTTGTTTCCATGGTTATGCTCTCCAAGTTCCCACTCTCAATCAATCCCTGCCATACACACTCCTAAGAATTCACATCTTATTTCTCTGAACTCTCCATGCAGAATCCAGGCTCTCAAGAGTATGTCAATCCATTCTGTCGTGCAGCAGCCTTTCCAAGAGCAAAGCTGCAAACAGCTCCTAAATGCAGATTCCAGGGCAGGGAAAAAAAACATTTGCCAGAAAAAAACCACTTGCCACACCCTGTAGATCTTACTCTTCCACGGTCTGCCAGCAGGCTTCTGTCCTGGCTGAACAGACCCATCATGAAGGAAAACCTTTTCTCTCTAGGGACAGCCAATCACAGAAGATTAGCACTGATGGATATCACTTGTTCTACCCTTTCCCATATGGGTCTGTCAGGTAGAAAGAATGTAAAAATTTAGAGAAACCTGGGAAAGCCTTGTTTTTTTTTCTTTAAGGGCTTTTAAACAGCATGAAAACTTTTCAACTAAGGTTCTTCAGAAGTCTCCTTCACAGGTCTTCTAGCTAGCCCTGCTCAAACACAACACAACTGTGCTCAGAAACAAGGATAAATAATCCCTAAAACTACAAGGACCCCCTAAAATTACAGGTGTTGCTGCATGAATTTGGGCAGGAGTGGACTGCAGTTCAGCTGGATCAGATTCCACAAGAAGAGTTAGGTATTTAATCCCTTAGTCACATTTAGGTAAAACCAGTAGAGTAGCACAGCACTCATGCATCTAAGAATTCTGTTTCAAAACAGAGCAGAAACACAAGCCCTCCACACCTCCTGCAGTAAGTTACTGCCTTTGCATAATGTTCAAGCAACAAAACATATTCATATAGACATTTAACTGCAGCTACATGCATAACAGACAGGGCAGGATGGGAGGGAACAAAATCCAGGAGATTACATGGGGGGATTATCTGGACAAGACCAGGGGAAAAAAAATAACACCTCAGCTTTCACTGTCAAATTATCATCCCTTGTCTCAGGATTCTCCATGCTCTGGTAGTACCTGAAAGACTTTAGCTTCGTTTGGAGAAAAAAAGGCAACAGACCTCCTCCTCTCAAAACATGCCCCACCCAAACTTTTTAACCTTCTTCCTAGAGAAGAAAGCATGGATCTTTTGATCCACAGAGTTACCAAACATGCCTTCCTCTCTGTTCCTCAGAGAGAGCTGAGCATCACCTCACCAGTATGCTTCTCTGTCCAGAACAAGGATGTTCACACTAAACCAGGTTTGGGATTCCCTCCACCAGGGCCACATTGCTTTTTAATCCCAGTAACTGGGACTTCTGCATAGCCAAGCACCTTTTTTTGCAGCGCTTGTTGCCCAGAGCAGCAGCAGTACTCCCAGCAGAATGCTGCCCAGAGAAGCTGTGGCTGCCTCATCCCTGGATATGTTCAAGGCCAAGTTGGACAGGACTTGGTGGAAGCCAGCGTAGTGGAAGTTGTCCCTTCCCGTGGCAGGGGGTGGAATGAGATGAGCTCTCAGGTCCCTTCCAAACCCATCTATGATTTCTCTGTTCCACCCAGAGCACAGAGCCACACACCCCTCAGCCTGAGTTCAGGCTGGGACTGAGCATCCACCACAGATCCACGATGACACACTCCAAACACCCCTCAAAGTCTGCACTGTTCCCCTGTTAGTTTCCAAGATGGACCCAAAAGCTCACCCCCAAGACCCAGCTCCTGTCACCTCCACCACCCTGGCACTGTCCACGTGCTCCTGCTGTGCCCAGCCAGCTGAGGGAATCCGCAGGGCAGGCAAGCAGAGGAGGCTGTGCCACATGGGCGGCCCAGGGCCACCACTTCCCTGGTGTACAAGGAGCCTGCGGGCCAGTTGTGTGGCCATGCCACATGGGCGGCCCAGGGCCAACATTTCCCTGCGTACAGGGGCCCCGAGGGCCGGTGTGCAGCCGTGCTTCACCACGCTGAGGGGTCACTGCGCCCAGGCTCTGCTGCTCTGTGCAGGTGCTGCTGCACGGCACCCCCAGGGGTCCCTGATCCAGGGGCCTGGATCACGGGTCCACAGGTCCTGACCACAGAATCACAGGGCCAGTTTGGTTGGGAGATCATCTCGAGACTTCTGAGATCATCGAGTCCAACCAACACGATGAACCAACACCGCCTTGTCAACCAGGCCATGGCACCCAGTGCTACTTCCAGACTGTCCTTAAACCCCTTCAGGGACAGTGACTCCACCTGGCAGCCAGTTCCAATGTCTAATCACCCTCTCAGAGAAGAAATTTGCACCTAGCAGGGAGATACTGATCCGCAGAAGAGTATGCCCGCCATAAAAATTGTTCCTTTTGTACAAAAATGAAAGGGATTGGCTGAACAACACAACTGGATCTGCTGTGACTGCTCCGGGGCAGACTGAGGGCAGTACCACAGGTTGTGCAGCGTTTGGATTCAGGAGGAGCTGGATCACAAACATAGGAAGCCAACACATATAATTAGATGACAAGCAAGTTTATTTTGCAAAACAATCACTATACAGCAACAAATACAATTGCAAATCGGATTGAAAAACATGAACTACCTACCACCAGCCATTCAAGAAATGCCTCTTTTATGGTAACAGGCTCTAGAATTATCAGAAAAAACACAGGTTTGTAACAGCAGACTGTATTCCTTGATATCCCAGCATACAGCATGTTTACTTGTTGGCTTTTTCTCTTTGCTAAAGTTGAAGTGGCTTTTATACGCTTGACTTTTCCCAGTGTGAAACTAATTTACCTTCCTGCAGTGGGAATTGCTGGAGTTGCAGAGGGAATTGCTTTAGCAATCTGACTAGTGAGTGAACTCACAGACACCTAGGCTAGAAATCTACCAGCATTGATTTTCACAGCTAATGTGATCTACTCTTCAAGGCATTTGCCTTTGAAGGGACATATACTTGGGTTTCAAACAGTATTTAGTCCAGCATGGAAAAAACTTCTGCTCATGTGGTAGTCAACACAGGCTGCCTTTCGACTCCCTTTGAGTCATGTATTTAGGCAAACTTAGACGTGTGAGCACTCATGATGAGGTTACTACTGTACCACAGCAGAAGGTTGAACGATTAATTCCATTTACTGCTGTAGAGTGAAAATATATACTGCCCTTGTGGGCTCATAATTTTCCTCATCAGGTTTAGTTTTTCCTTTATTCTTGCTGGACAGAGGTTTGCTCAACTTTGATTTGTTTCAGCTTGTGGTTACATAGAAAACTCTGCAGATGAGGCAGAAGCAGTCTCTCATCTCTACAACCTGATGGATTATTGAATTTGGGGTTCTCCCCTAGGTACCCAAACAAGGTTTCACCAGCCCTTTGTCTGGATTACCTCTGCTTTGTTACACAACTGGGTCTCAGGCACCCAACAAACCTGCTGGCTAAACATGCCTGTGAAAAAGAAACACAACAGATGCAGTTTCCAGGAAGCTGGCTCTATCTTCTTTAGTGGGCATTACATATTTACAAACTGTTGTTTTTAAAACGAACACTCTTCTTGAGAAAGTTAAGATTAATATGAGCTTTTCAGTGAACATCTAGAGTCATGTAACATAACTTGGTTTTTAAAATTATTATTCAAAAGCACAAAACTCTTAATTTCTTTTCATCTAACTCCACAGCATTCTAGGATTCTTTCTATGGAAGGATGATAATGATTACGAAGGTCTTTGCTTCAGTCAAAACAAGAAAGCTCATTTTAATGCATGAAATAAATGACTTGGTGTGTTACACACTCTAACTTTGGACTCATAGGTGGATTAACTAAGCCTTATTTTCTAGATTATGCCAATTTTAAAAGCAGAATAAAAACACTTGAATCTTAGGTTAACACTGTTCCCATGAGATGCTGCTTAGGTTCAGAGAGCAGAGGTTCAGTAGTACCATAGCTTTTCTCCTACACTGGCAAAAGGCATACAAAGAAAAACCACTGCAAGGCTAATTTATATTAATTGATAGCATAATCAGAGCAATGTGATACAAATACTGCCAGTTTTCCTTTCTGTTTGCTGTTTTTCTGAAAACATGGGAAGAAGATTTTAATACACCTCACTTGACACTGTTTCCATGTGAATTCTTTAAGCAGAAGTGTAACAAATACAAGGCAGAAATCAGAATCCTCCAATTGCACTTGGAATGGTTCTAAAATCACTGTCCTTTGTATGAAACAACTGACTTACAAACAGTGTTAGTTACTTTATTGTGTGAAAAAGCTTTTTGCACAGCAGAAATGTCATGTGCGGGGCTGTCAGAAGTTCAAATTCAGTAAAAGTTGGAGAGATTAAACCACTCTGTTTTGTGGTGGTACTGCTGTAGCAGCTTAGCCAAAACCCCAGTTTGGTCCACTGAGTATTTACTGTCCAGTAACTGCATTACTACCCGAATGTAATGATGGGGAATCCTGTGCCATTAATTTTTAGAATCTCCACAGACATAAAAATCTCTGTGAGTCTTTTCAGACCAAACCCCAACACACGCACACAAACATAAAAATTAAGAAGGAAAAAGAACAGATCAAAAGTTTCCAAAACACATCATTAACCTAATACATACATCAAGTATAGCTCAACTGACAGTGCAAAGTTCAGTTACGAGGTTTCAAAAGGAATAGATAAAACAATCTGCAAGAATGTAAACTGGTCATTCCTTAATGTCTCATGTACATAGGGCATCAGCAGGTGATGTGCTGCTGAGGATCATCCCTATCACCAGTGCTCTCTCAGGTAACTCCATTAGAATTGGTTGTGTATCTGCCTTTTATCTTTCATGCACACTTTTTCTTATGCTTTTTATAGTCAATATAATCCCACTTTGCTCAGATTTTAAGATTCCCTATTTAACTGATGAATCACTATGACCAGTCTAGGGAGCTCATTTTTATTTATTCATGTATTGTAATTTACAGGCATCTCTACTATGACTATCACTGTTACCCGAGTGCCTGAGTGTGTACATGGGAGACATCACTAAAGGAGTGGAAACAACATCTTTTTTTCTGTGTTTCAACTTTAGCAAAAGAAAAATAATAAATCAAACATTCATTGTTAATATAGGAATGAAAAAAAAAAAAAAGATGAGGAAGGAAGGGAGGGAAAGAGAAAGGAAAGAAAGGAAATAAAGGGAGAAAGAGAGAGAGAAAGGGAGAATGAGAGAAAGAGAGAGAAAAGAGAGAGAGAAAAAGAACAAAAGAAAGAACCAAATTATTGTGGATTTTTAAAAAATCCATAGTCCAAACTCAGCCTTCTTTGGAGACTCTTTTACAAACATCTGGACCCCACAAAAATCATTCCTTTTTGAAGAAAGGGAGGGAAGAGAAGAAGGAAGGAATCCTTTTTCTAGCGTTACAGAATAGACTTGCATCTGTCACTAAAACAGGGTCACGGCTTTTAGTTGTTACAGAAAGCAACTTCATGCTACAATTTTCATCTTTTTTTAATGTATTCTTATGAATAGGGAAAAAAGCCCCTGCTAACATCTACTTTTACATACCTAAAATTGCAACACCAAAGGGTGCAAGAGACACAGATACTGTGAATAAAGAAGTAGAATATTCAAGTATATGAGGAGGGCGTATCACAAATGGCCACAGAGAAATATATATATCTATAATACTGTATCAAACAAATGGAAAGAATGTGAAACTGGTGGTATGCACACAAATCTAGCTGCTTAACCAACTTTTCTAATCAGACACAAGTCTGTTGGGGTATGAGTGCTCGCTTTCAGCAGCTTTTTTACGTCACTTCCCAAAGCACAATTCAGATGTTTTCAGCTAGTATTTTTAGTTATTATTTAAATAATTTATTGGCTTTTCAGCTATACACTGACATAATTAACCAGGTTCAAAAAATGTTAATAACTTAATTCAACTTTTGTTCTACTCATTTATACAAAGTAACATACTTTTTTAATTAAATTTCAATTTCCCTATATGCCCTTCCTTCTGGTAAGCAGACTGTTAATTTAACTTGTAATAACTTACAATGGGCAACTTTTCTTTTTTATTTCCCCATCTATCAAAAGAACTGTGAAATGAGCAACTTGGGATATTAACAAGGCTCTTCAGAAAGAGGTGGATGGCCTTCAGGCACATGAAAGGTAAAAATGCATTTTTATCATACTACAGTACTCCATGCAAGACAGAGCAGAGCAACAATAATTGTCCAATGTAACATACCGCTGTATACCCATATAAAGCCAGTGTCTTCCTGTTATAAATGGAGGTCAGGCCAATTTCTGCATCTATGGAATTTTTTTTTTTTCTGTTTTTTTTTTTTTAACTGTATGGTAACTACAAGTCTTGGGATGTAACTTAGTTTTAGACATGGTAAAGAATGAACGTAACACCTGCTCTGAGCCCATTCCTGCCAAGAGCTCATGCCTAAATATTATTACTTCATACACCGCAAAATGAGCAAATTCATAACCCCTGCTTGGCAAGGGCTGCTGTGACATCTTCAGCCAGGGTAGCAAGCTGGGGTGATTCAAGCAGGTTGATGCTTCCAGAGGATGAGACGTTGCTGAGTCTGCGTGGCGAGGCCATGCTGGACCTGCCTGGTGACTGCGTGATGATCTCAGCCCCGTGATCAACACGGGCCTTGGCGTGCTCTCTGAAGTTTAGCTTCTGGCTGTCAATCTGCTCCAGGAAAATAAAGAATTTCACACATTATATGTTCACTAAATTATCTCATTTTAGATCATCATTTGGGCATCATTTTGCTTTTAAAAACTATTAGAAGGATCAAGGCTTCTTTGCTCCTTAGAAAATTGAATTTTTCACCTTGCTTAATAGCTACTGGCATACTTTGTTACATTCTCTTACCATTTCTGTCTCTGATGGATGCTTTAAAGAGAAGTTCCTAGTTGAACAAATTTCAGAAGCATTATATGGGCACTATGATTTGTTTCCAAAATCTGTATTTTCAAATATTTGTGGGATTGATCTTATTTTCAGGATGTTTTCCTCCTGTTTCACAATGGAGTCCTCATCTCAGCTCATACCTGTGCTGTCCCTCAGTCTCAAACAAGATTTATCTTTGGAGGGAAAAACAGTGCACAAACTACATGACATTTCACTCTCAGCTTAGATGTGGATGCAAGATTAGTCATTCCAAATTTCAAAGGGAACAAATTGGTATATGAGTGTGCTTGAAAGAGGACAGACAGATGTTTCCTACTTAATTCAGAGCCATTACTGAATTTACAGCTTTAGTAATTTCACTGGGCCAGGGGCACAGTGGGAGCCTTTTCTGGCAGCTGTTCCTTTACCTTGACGTTACCACCACCAGGTACATGGTGAGCATTTTCCAGTGAACCAACTTTAGCCTGAGCTTTTTCTTTGAAATCCAGTTTCACACTCTCAATTTTCACACGCCCACCTCCTACAGAGGAAAAGAAAACACAGATTAGGAAGTTGAAATGGTGCAGGAGACAGTGTGACCTGAAGCATGAGTGCACTTGCATTACTCCCCTTTTAGCTGAGATCTAATGGTTTTGGAGAATAATGCTCTGCATGTTCAGTAAAATATAAAATCTTCAACATATATTTAAACTGTAAGCAGGTGCTGCAGTCCTACAGGTTTTCATGGGATTTAAGCACATGCTTAAGTATTTCAGACCTCAGCCTGTATTTCAATCTTATACCAGACCACCATCCTTTAGCGTTATTTTTTTATCACCTCTCTAAACTAGGTGGCCTTATACCTTTTTGTCTGTATATATTCAGTTAAGTAGTTTAATGCACTTTTACGACTAAAGAGTATTTATTTTTCTCTTTGACTGTAAAGAAAAATGGTATCATCCATGACTTTGAGTTCAAATGACACTATTAGGTCCTTGCTTTGTCCCACAACCCATAAATTTCTACAGTACCTGGTTTGTGGTGGATATTCTTGAGTGAGCCACACTTGGAAGTCACATGACTCAAGTCAATCTTCTTGGTTACAATTTGTACCTGTCAAAAGTGCACACATACAAAAATTACAGGAATGAAGAGAATAAAATAAATAAATAAAAAGCTAAGCTCTGCAGATAAAGAGTGAGAGGCTTCTACAAACCACTGGAAAAGGAGAAATGGTTAGTAGAAAACAGACCATGCCACAAAGGAGGAAACCTCCCACCTAGAGAGATGACAGAGCTGGGTTAAGCTTTACTGTTAGCAAAATGAAGAGGAGTATAAAGGATTTCAGCTTGTGGGTTCTTTCTAAAATGTTTCTGAACCTCCTCCTTTCAGAGTGGGTGCTCTAAAGCCCTGCACACAGCAGGACCCATCCCATTTACTTCAGTCTCAATTATGCATCCTGGCAACTAGGATAATTTGGTGGCTGCTTTTTTCTCTACCATCTGTTTTGTATTTTTCTGCATCTAAATATGGTATGCATTTCCTGTCAGTCCACTATGGAGAGTCTGAGAAATCTACACATTTGCCTCCTGCAGCTGTACCTGAGCAGGCTGAGGTTCAGCCAGCTGGCTCAGTGCTCACTGGAGAGCAGCAGGTCAGGCACCCTCCTTCCTCCTGCTGCCACCTTGCCATGGCTGTGCTGAGCCCAGCCTGGGAACAGCCACAGAGTGACACTCCTATCTTGCCTGCACTCCCAAACAGCTCCAAGATGCAGCCCACAGCCAAGGCACTGGGCTGGCAGGCCCCAAGAAGGCACAGCCCTCCAGGCCAGCCAGGAGCTCCAGGGCAACTGCAATGCCACTGGCTTGCTCACCACACCACTGTGACTTAGGCCAGCACTGCCTGCTGTATTGACCCTGCCTGGATCAGACATGCCCACACCATCAGCTCTTCCCATCTGAGAGGTGATCATTCCCATCAGGACAGTCATAGCCAGCTTAAGCTGTTCCAGGGTGCCCAATAAAACCAGCAGGTGTCTGGTCAAACTCTGGGTCACCTCAGTTTCTTATACTGGAATAATGCTGTGACATCAGCACTCAGCATGCTGGCTCATCACACCCTCTCTTCTCCGAGTTTTCTTTGCCCTTCTGTTTTATTTTTCTTCTTCCCCTCTGCTGAATGCACATAATTGAAAGGTTAGCTGAGGAAGGACTGATGCGTGGAAAATGCCCAACAGGGAGGGTGGAGTCCCCCTGTGAGCTGCAGTCTCTTTCTGGAAATTACTTTCTTGGGCTGCTCCCATGAAAGAAAGGTGCTGAACCACTGCACTTTCACTTGGGCATTTAGAGATAACCCTTCTTTTATCACTTCCTTTCCCTGTACAAGTTCTGAAAATGTGTTGTGCTCTGTGGGATAAGATCAGGAGGCCACCACTGCATACACAGGACTCACTCGACTAGCAGACATGGTAATCAAACTGAATGTGAAACAGCAGCAAGAAGGAAAGCAGTGCTCAGAGGAAGGGAGACAGGTGCTTCACCACAGTGGAAGTGCCTGTCCACAGGGTGTCCATACTACTTACATTTCCTCCCCCTGCAGAATGTTTGATGTTATCTCTAGAACCACACCGGGACTGAATATCGCTAAAATCGATCTTCTTGTTTAAAATCCTAACCTAAAAGAAATTGGAGGCAACTTACTACATACCATACACACACTCAGTTGGGGGTGCAGGACAAGGAAACCAGGGTAATTTGCCTCCTACACTGACTCCTTCTTTTGACACTTGTATTGAAATGTGAGAAAATAAACCCTGTCAATATTTGTGCTTTGTATGCTTACACAGCATCCGTAGATATATTGCGCTGCTCTTTTTCTACCTCACAAAGTGGTGGTGAAATACAAAGGGTACAGGTTTATACTGGGATGTATGAGAGGTGGCTTTTCCCTGAAAAGTTTTAAGAACTCCATGCTTGCTTGGACTGGGCCTAGTCTTAGGACAGCCTGTCCTAGGGCCTATTGAGTGATGTTCAGTATTTCTGCTGAACTGGTCATAAGAAGATGGGAACCCACCTCCCCACAGCTCAGCACTCCAGTCTTTGATGCAGAAAACCCCAGATCCAGCCAGCACAGGCTGAAATCCTGAGGTATTTAAACCCACTTTCTGCCATACAGCTGTAACAGCAGCTACATCCATAAAACAGACCTCAGCATGCCATGAAAGGGGAGCAACAAAATTACTTAAACTAATCAGAGTTCTGTACTGCTCCCTCTTTTACTGCCATCTACTACAAGGCAAGACAGAAAACAACAGCATCTGGAAACCTAGAGCTGCAATCACTACTTTGTGATTTCTGGTGCCTGCCAGAAATCTGGTGTGCCAGATTTGGGCACAATTACCTTCTACTGCTAGCAGTACTGTGCTTCTCCCCTGTGCTCTTATTCTCTTCATACAACAAGGTAAGGTTTTTGCTCTTCCCTTGATGATGCCAGCCTCCCTTACACATGCCAGGAATCCACATTTTTAATATGTTACTTTAGCCACTGCAGGCAATGGACAGCACCTGGAGGCAAACTCTGTCAAGGGCAGGCTGTGCTGTCCTGTGCTTGACCCCATGACAAAGCAGCTCCTCTACACGGCAGAACTCAGGTGACACCAATAATTGTACTAATAATTGTACCAGGGAATGATGCACAGCTGCATGGCAATGGCTAGTGGGCAGGGACAACTGGGTGCACACCTGACTAATATAATTTTCAGATTTATTTCCCAGCAAGAGCAGGGGGTTGTGCTTATCAGTAATAAGAGTTTTTAGGTGGGTGAGAAGGTTTTTCTATCCAAGGCTGCACCTGCATTCTTTGCATCAGAGTGTCACCCATGCAGTATATTCTTTCTCTGAGTTAAATATGAAATCTTTATTGGATTTTATGAAATCAACATTGGATTTTATTTTTAGGTATTAATATATAATATGAAATTAAACTCTTTCCTGTACAGAAAGCCAAAGAATTTGGGTTACTATGTATTTTGCTAAATGGCAATTATAGAGCCTTCACTGGCAGATTACTTAGCACAGCCCTGTTGGCTACTGTTGTAGGTAAACCTACAAGTTCAGACAGAGGGAAATGCACACTGAGGTTCCTTACTGCAGCTTCTCGGAACTTTGGGAGCACAAAGCAGCACCAAAGCAGCTGAAGCAGTCAGTGGGAGGAAGCAAAACCCTGTGAAGGTCCTGCTTCCTGTCTTCAGGTCCCCAAACTGTCCCAGGTTCCCTGATAAATCTGAGATAAATCACTCCCTCTGTGTCTCACCTCCCCAGACTAGGAAAATACTATTTGCCCTCTTACAGGGGCATCAGGTTTTGCAGCTTTTGGCTGCTGCAGTGGGGATAACAGCACATTTAGACAGTGAGTTGAATCCTCTGGTACTCGAGTGCACCCTTAACTTAAATCCAGTAAACTCTCAGAAGAAATGTTCAGAGGGTCACTATTTGCAGCTAATATGAAGAAGTTCTTCATAGCAAGCTGTTCCATGGATCTTTCTTATTACATATAACAACTAAATCAAGAATGTTAAGATTATTTTTAACTTAAATATTTTCGTTTAAAGCAAAAACCTCGCTTTAACTGATAAAGATCTGGTGTGATGGCATACTCAGCAACAACAGTGATGACAGCACCAGCCAACCCCACACAACTGGTAGGTCACCTTCAGAAGGGCATCTTCAATAGTCAAACTGATTTCTGTCTTTCCCCCTCCCATCTGCTTATCTGACCAAATAAACCAACGCACCCTAAAACATGAAAGCAAATGCCTTTGGAATTTCATGCTTGTGCTTTCTCTCAATATAATATTTGTTTAAAAATGTACTATATGAGACACATGTCACATCAGTTACAGAAACACACATCAGATGTGTATTCAGATCTGGTTCTCAGAGAGCTTCTGGCCAGACACAACTGGGCAAAACAGAAAGAAAGCGTTCCTGGCACTTTCTGAGCACGTCTTTCAGCGATGGATCAGCAGCACTTCTTAGCTATGGCCACAGGGATTCATCTGCTCCAAAAATGCTGACTTACAGGTCATGACAAGACCTCTGCACTGGGGGCCTGTAGCTTAAAATGGAGCCAAAGCAAGGTGAAAAGTTGAGAGGGTGCCTTTGATCAAGTGCCTAAAGGCTGATTTGCACTCAAAAGTCTGACAGTTCATGAGTCTCATGGCCCATGGACCTGGCTAGCAGATATATAAAGCACCAATCATCTCAATTATCTCTCCATCTCACTGGGTGAAATATCCCCCTGTGTGGCAGGGCCAGCAGGAGACCTATGCATCATTTCTGTCCTGTCCTGAGGGCTGGAGAGAGCTGAGGGACATGCATGCATTCTGCTGCTCATCTAGCACAGGGAGAAACTGAACTGATTCAGGTTTCCCTGATATTTTGTTTCTCCCTTGCCTGGGATGTATCAGTATCTCTGCACATATTTAAATCATAACCACTCTCTATAACTAAGTGTTCCACAAATGAACAGGGCTTTGTTTCCTGTAGGTAAGGGCTTAAACTGCTTACTTAATTCATCCATCATGTATACTCCAGCAAGCCCTATCACTTCCAGCCAGCATTTTGTCCCAAGCTTTCTCCCAGTTCTGCTAGACTGGGCAGACAGGCTAATACACAATCAGCCAAGTGTTTGCTGTCCCTGATTGTGGAGAAGGGCTGAGTTCACTGCCTTTATCCCAATGATGGTGTTAGGCTGAGTCCCTGTTCCATACTCTCTCAACAACCATCACTGTGTAGAGGGACCACCTGTATTTCTCACCACTGCTCCCTTGCCAGCAGCATTGGTTGAAATTGTCCAGTAAGTTCCAAAGGAGCTGAGAAAGGCTGAGATTGCCAGCCAGCCAGTGTGACTGCAGGAGCAGTTCTGTTTGAGGAATCAGATTGTAATCCAGAGAGGGAGCTTACCAGAAAGGGACAGGAACCATTTAGGCTAAAGAGAAACTTTGGCTTGCAAACAAAGAATGTAAACTGACTATGAATCACTTGAAGCTGGCATCTGGATGGAAATCTTTAGCTGTCAGAGCAAGGAGGCTCTGGAACTGCCACGTGAGGGAG